CTTATAACACAAGGAGGAGTTCCCTGATTGATTTATAACCAGCTATTTATTTGAAGAACAAAAAAAAAAAAAAAGAAAAAATGGGATTAGAGTTATACAGTGTATACAATGTTTTATACCTGAAATAACTTGGAAGTTCTTTATTTAGAGTCAGTTTTGGTGCTTCTCTCTCTCTTCTAAAAAATAATTTTAAAAAAAGTCATTACTTTGGCTAGTACAGGTTGGAAATACTTCCATTTTGTCGATTAGAGTTATACAGTGTATACAATGTTTTATACCTGAAATAACTTGGAAGTTCTTTATTTAGAGTCAGTTTTGGTGCTTCTCTCCCTCTTCTAAAAAATAATTTTAAAAAAAGTCATTACTTTGGCTAGTACAGGTTGGAAATACTTCCATTTTGTCTGTGAAAAGCACTGCATTTTATGTGAAATGCAGAATAACAAAGGGTAAACATGGCTTAACCTAAACCCTACATGGTAATGTAGTTTGCTTTAAATTAAAATTGGTTCAAGTCAACAATTCCTCAAAGAGGAAATTTGAAATGTCCTGTGGTTCAACACATCGACAAATTTGGGTGGTCAAATATATTCCCTCTGTGTTGCTAAAAACTACAGTGCTTCCAATACCTCTTACGGTACAGTATTAATTACTACAGGCGTGTCCCCTAGGCTCATCCACTTGTAACTGTATTTGACTTCTCTAGCTCAAATTTGAGGCACTCTGGGTCCCCTGGTGTGCTCAGGGCTGAAACTTGCTTTTGAACATGCTAAATGCACCTTTTTTTGGGGCCACAAGAAAACTCTCCTTCCGCTTCATCTCTGCCGTCCACCCCAAATTGGCTAGAAGTGGCTTGGGAAGGTCTGCTGGGGCCCCAGCCCCTTCCTCACTGCTGCTGCCTGGCTGCACCATCTCTGTTGTAGAAACACCCCATCGGCAGCGGCGGGCAGGCCAAGGGGGCGAGCAGCTGGATAGATGGCCATCGGGTTTTGCCACGTGTCCTGGCACCCGGTTGGTGCTAGGACCCAGGGTAGGACCAGCAGCGACCTGGCGCTGTAAGTTTGCTGCCTTCTATTTAAAGACTGCCCTGAGTCAGGAGAAGTGAGAGCTGCTGGGGATGACAGTTGCTTCAGGCAACCCTGGGGAGGACAGGGTCGGGGGTAAAAATCACCGGCGAGGGCCTGAGCTGGGAAGGGCATGGAGGGGTACCGCGGCGCCGAGTGTGACAGGGCATCTGAGACCTCGTCCTTTGTAGAGGATGAAGAAGAAGAGGAGGAGGAGGAGGAAGAGGAAGAAGAGGAGGAGGAGGCTGTGGATCCGGAGGAAGCAGAAGAGCTGACTAACAGGTACTGCCTCCCCAGGCACTCACAGCCTTGGGGGGAGCTGGCAGCTTCATCCCAAAGCACAAGCCAGGGGGGATGCCAGGATTGGGGGCTAGTGCTGGTTTTAGTACCTTTCCTCCTTCCCTTCCCCAGCTGCTGCAGATTAAAAAAAAGGGGGGGGGCGGCTGTTAATGGGGGGTGTTTCAGATGGGTATGGAGGTAATTAGGTTTTGTGCAGTAAGCGCCTGCCCTGAGTTCCCTGAAAGCTTTTCTATTTAAAGATCCTCTGGCGTGCCAGCTCAAGTGGCATCTCCCTCTGCTCCTCCCTCTCTGGCTGACTCTTTGTCACATATCGATCTAAAATGCTCTGCAGATTTGCTTGTCAGGGAGAAAATGGTCAAAGATTGTAATGGCACATTGAAATTTGTTCCTTTTTATGGCCCTTTCTCCCTTCCCGCTTGTCCCTCCCTCTTCAGTTTCTTCTTCCCCAAAAAAGGAAAATCTTGTTGTATGTGCTCGCCACCGCCCATCATGATTTGTGTGGCTGATTTTTGGGGTTGCGATGAGGAATATTTTATCACTTTGATTTTTTTAAAATTTTTTTTCTTAATAACTCTTGCACAGAAACAGTTTGTTGTCCTAATATTGCACTCCTACCATCAGGAAAATAACGAGCAAGACAGTGGCCCGGTGCCCAGCGCATGGCCCTGGTCCTGCGCAGGATGCGGAGGCGTCTGCAACCTGATCCACGCAGGTGGACTCCTCTGGCCGTGCCAGCGCTGGTGGTTTCAAAAAGAGACCGTGAGGCCTGAGAGTCCCCTGGCACGTATTGTGTTGCAAGATTTCTTCCTTGTCTTGAGTGAAGCCTATCAGTTTTGGGTGGATACTGTAGGAAGAACCAAAGACATTAATGTTGACAGTTTAAAGTATTTCCAGAAACCAGTTTTTTAAGAAATTTGGGTCATACAGTTCCTAAAACCTCAGTGCTGTGGAGCCATCCTGTGTCGACAAACCGCTCTGGGTGTATCATAGTTCAAAGTGCTTTCTAGCATTGCTGATGGTCACTGGGAGACAAAAAGATGGCAGAAAAGAGGCGGGGAGGCTCTGTGCAGGCTAAACCACCCCGAGTGCTGCGGGAATGAAAGTCGAACAGGGAAATGTAGCCCGGGACTGTAGGAAAACCTCCTCGCAGAGGGAAGAGAGAGCTGGTTTTCCAAAGAAGTCAGGGGACACCCCTGGTGTGTAACACTGCTTTTCTCCTGAGGGAGATGTTGACTCTTCAGTCCTGTACCGGCAGAGAGAGGGGTTACGTGCTGATAAACGCTGCTTGCACATGGGTGCAACCCTGCGAGAAAACCAGCTGAAGGCAATGGAGTGGAGCTACTCACTGCAGACAGCTAAAACTCAACTGACTGGATATTTTTAAATGCAATGTGCAATTAAATGGCTAATAATAAAACTGAAATTGTAAAACATAAGTGGAAATGGCTAACTTTTCCCTTAAAGGGAGGAAAATCTATGTAGCCTTGCAGTTGTTCGCTGCTCGCGCTAGGAGGATGGCTTCTCCATGGGTGCCTGTTAGCAGCTCCCCACAGCTAGGTCTTGCTTCTGGCCGGCAGCCTCTGCAATGCAAACTTGGGTATTGCATCTCACCGCTTAATTAAATCACAGCAACCATTCCCTTTAGCTTTCAGTTATATTAAGAATTGCAGAGTTCATCTCTATCCTTAACTGTCTTACTAATAACAGAGGTCAGAGTCTACTGGAGAGGTTTTTAGCAGCTGTGCTCAGTGGTAACTGAGTATATTTAAATCCATTTTATTATTTTAATTAGGCTAAAGGAGATGTTAAATTTGGGGTTTGGCACAGATATTGTAGCTGCACCAAGTGCTCAGTAATAGCTTAGTAAAGTTAAATGAAACTGATTCTTTAAATGCTTAAATTTTGTTGTTGCAAATGTCAGCATGGTTGTTGAGCTTACGGCCTGAGTGCCTGGGCAGAGCTCCTGGGAGGTGCTGGCTAAGCCTCTGAGACGTGCTTACGCAGGCTGTAAGCTAACTATTTGTTGACAAACAGGTTTTCAAGTCCCTGTTGTGGGGGGGGGGGGGGGGGAGAGAGAGCGCGCGCGTGTGTGTGTTGAAAATGTGGCTTAGAGGAGATGTAACCAATATGCAAACTTGTCTGAAGACAGCCTGTCCTGCACCCTGCCGTCATTGATTTATTTTTAACAACCCCAAGCTCTCTGCTGCTTGTCTTCCTCCTCTGCATGCAGTTGAACAGCACCTGGTTGTACAACGTTGCAGTCAGCGGAGAAATTCCCCATTGGCTCCTATTTCCATCTTTCAAGCATGCTAAATATCCTCATTCCTATTTTATAAAAGAGTTATGCAGCAAGATGTCTGGCCCAAGGTCAGCAAGTGCCCATGACAGAAGCAGAAGGACCCTGGTGTTTCCCCAGGACACTAACCCCTGCGTCCTGATGGACCCACTCTGCTTCCACGCCGGTTCCTCTGCAGCAGCTGCAGGGAGTAAAATCCCAAAAGCTGCAGCAGAACTTATGACTTGCCCCAAAATTATGGTGCATGCACATAAAAAGCAGAAAAGTTTGTGTTTCACATCTTTATTACCCTTTTGATGTAATCTTCAAATAATTTGGTTTCCTAACATAGGTTTTTATGCAAGTAATGAGACTAACACATGGCATCAGAACCTATTATAAAGATGGGATAAGGCATCATGTCCTTGTCAGCATGAATAACCCACTGATCTTCAGAGGGTTCACGCAATATTTTCTTGCCTTTGGGCATTTTACTATCTGAGATAGACAGATCATGGCAGATGTCTTTTGTTTCAGGCTCCATGTAGAATTAATCGTCTAAACGGGGAAAATATTTTGAAAGCATGTATTGTGTGTTTTAAGGCAAATGAGTATGAAGTTAATAGGTATTTTTGTATTGATAATGGTGAGATTAAAGTCTAGCTACAGGAAGATACTTTACTGGTTAACTGGTTTATGTAACCACTGGAATATCCGAGTCTCTAACAACTACGTGATGGGTGAGCTGCTCTGACACAGTTCTGTCTCTTGGACCGTTCCCAGCTGATTTCCTTTTGTAGTGGGAAGGTCTCTGGATGTGTCTGTGTGCAGGGCTTACATAAAAATGACTCTGCAGCCAATTTGTATGTGTTCCCAGGTAGCTGGTTTGCCTGGAATGGGTATGGGGCTGATGTTACCTATTCATTTAGTGATAACCTAAGACCAGGAAATGGGGAGAAAGTCCTGGAGTTCTGGAAATTTTTTTAATTTTTTTTTTTTTTTTAAATGGAGCAGTCCTTCCACAAGAATATCAGAGGTGTGGAAGCTTCAGAGCCAAGTCTAGCTTAGGAAGAGTGGTGAAAAGGATGAAAGGGGAAGCGAAGCAAAGCGGAGAAGGGGGCAGCCCGCCACGTGGGGGATGCTGCAGCATCCAGGAGAGTGAAGGAGTGGAATGATGGCAAATAGGAAGGGAAGCCACTGGGGATTTGTCTTCCCAAAGAAAAGTTTGCCATACTCTCTCCAAAGCAAAGAAAGACGGGGGGAAAGGGTGTGTGATTTTAGTTTCCTAGATGAGGCAGCGCCTGCCTGGGGCCAGGGTGGAAGGGGCTGGCAGGGCTGTTTGTCCGCCGCCGGCTGCAGGCGTGTGCACGGGGAAGGTGAGAGCAGCGGGAAGCAGAGGCTTTCCAGCGCCCCGTGCAGCGGGGCAGAGGCTCAAGCTACAGGGCACCGGGAGCTGCTGAACGGGGCGAAGCGTCAAGGCAGGGGCGTTGCAGCGGGGAGAGGTGCAGCTGGTGAACCCACCCCACATCCCAGCCCCCGCTGGCAGCTGCAACCAGGAAATACACTTCACTCCGTGTTTTGTTTCTCTTCAGCCTTTTAGATAATATTGAATCCCTGGTAAAGGTCTAGATTGCAGTTTGGATCTAAAATAACACTCAGACTTTAAGAAGTTCCCTGTTAGGTCTCAACAAAGTGATTAAATCACTGTGTAAATGAAGTCTCCCACCGAGACCAAAGTGTTTGTTCAATACCTGTTCTCCCTCCACGACCTGTACAGTGGAGAATCCAGAATGCAGGAGCAAGGCAGACCGCGGGGGCACGGAGCTGCTGTGGTTTCTCAAGCAGCATTGTGAAGCTGTGACCGGCAACGCCACCAGGCCATGCCATGACCTGACGTCTGGAAAAGAGACCAGCACCGCAGCGGGTTGTGTCTCTTCCCAGGCATTTGCAAGCATCAAGGATGGAACAAAATGTCTGAGACAGGCCCAGCTCCCAGCTACTCCTAACAAAAATCAGCTTTGCAACGGTGCAAGCAGCAGTCTTACTGCTTTTAGATAATTATTCATTTGAATTTGGACACATGCATGAGCCACTGTGTTGCCAGAAGGGGCATTTATTAACACTGAAGGAAGTTAGCAGTAGGTTAACAAGTGAAAGGCTGGGTTTAAAATAGTGACTTTCTGTAGCTCCTAATTCTCTTACCCTGGAGAAGGAGATGGATGAGCTATAGCCCTGGGAAATGCAGACCGATAGAGACCTCACTGAGCATACTGATTGCTGCAGGGGAAAGGGGCAGCGTGGTAAAGGCAGAAACTACAGGAATGTACAGAACAAAAACACAAACACAGAAAAATAAAATATTTCCTTCAACTGGGAAGGCAAGCTGGCCAGTACCGATTTCCACCTCCCCTGCACTGTGCCTGCAGGGTTCAGGTAGGAGCCTTCAGGGGATAAGAGGTCCTGTCAGTGCAGGCCATCGCCACAGCTTGACATCTCGGCCATTTTATCTGTGGTGTTTTCAGCTTGCAAGGTGTTACGCAGCAAACAGCAACAAGTTTTGATGATACCAGGAGTGACAAGGTCTGATGTGAAGTGGATGAAGGGAGGCTCTGGAGGATTTTAGAAAGCTGATGGGCTGGCTGTACTTCTCTGCGATGGTGCTAGTGTAGCACAGATGGACAGACCTCACTCAGCATGTCTGAACACGACTGCTCTGGCAGCTGGGGAGGTGAAAACTCTTCCCTAGTATGATATATAAGGGAACGTGTGCCCAGCCTGCCGGGCTAGACTGGAAACTTGAAATCCCAGCAGACACAGCACGGAAGTCGTAGTGAGAAGCAGAGGAATGTGAGAAGCAGGAAGAGGCAATAAGAAAAATCTGGTTTTGAGCTATTATGACAGGAAGCACAAAACCAGTTGTCAACGTCTTCAAGAATTATAAAAGGTTTGAGCCAATGTCCTAGCACGGAAATAACAGACTGATGGCATGCGTGCCGACAGGATTGGGTGTGAAATATCTATGTGGAAAAAAGGCAGCACTGGCTTTCCCCCCTGGATGTCAGTGGCTTCACATCTGCATTTATGGAGCTGAAACATTGTGAACGTCTTTTTGCAATAGCAGACACTTCCTCTGACTAGAGGGGCAGTCTTTCAGCTACTACTGCACAGCGTGCAAATTGTATACAAAACTAGGGCAGCATGTGGAAGTATATTGGGAGAAAATGCTTGAATTACGTGTCTTTCATTCTGGTCTTAAAAATATAAAGCACCACTTCATTGCACTATAGAGGAATATGGACTGTGACTGCAACCTTGGAAATGATGTGACTAATGCAAGCTTTTTGCATAGGCAGGACGAGGGCAGCCCATTCTTACTCACTAATATCAGCTGAAGTGGGAGTGCTGCTCTGTTCTGCATGGGGTTTTATTTAATAATACCAGGTAGTGCAGAAAAATAGGTTAAAAAATATATGAGGGTTATTTAGAACTTGAAAAATCTAAAAAAAATTAGGCATCTGTTGTTGTGGACTCGAATAAGACCGGAAAGCTTCCTTAGTACTATTGCTATTGATTTATTTTATTGTATTTTATTTTGCTATGCTCAAGTCAACCTAATGCCAAGCTATGAAACTGGCAAAGAAAAAGCTAGCAGCAAAATTGGTATAGATTTATTTGCTTTGCCTTTTCCTCGAACCTGTAAATCTTACCTTATGGAGCTAGCCTTGCTATAGAGTACTACACCAAGGCAGATAATCAGCTGTACATGCTGAGGTTTTGTATTTGTTTGAGGGCTGGTCTTGGGGTTTTTTTTGGCTAAGATGTGATTATTTAGTATTGCACTGTCAGACTTGCTTTGAATTGTGGGCTTTAGTCCAAGCTGTCCTGCTAGTCCCAGTCTCCAGGCCAGCCCAGTCACCACAACTGGCTTTAAGTGCCATCACTGGACTTTAATACCGTGTTGTCCCACAACCTCCTGGTCAGGCTGTTGTCCCGCAGGGTGACTTCAGTCTTCAGTTGGCACTGAGGACACCAGAGATGAGATGCTGTGTGCATCAGTCTGCATGGACCTCAGCATGGGCTCAGCCCAGGGCAGCCCTTCTTGTGCTGTGCTCTGGAGAGCAAATTCATGGAAAGATAAGGCCAGCACTGCTAGTATCAGGATTACTTTTTTGTTTCTGATAGGCGCTGACGGTTTTGCTGAGAGCCCTTTACAAAAACCTTACAGTTCGGAGAGTTTGCTTGATGGAGTGATTATGGCTCTCCTCAGGATTTCCTCTGCTCCTCCTTCAAAAACCTCTGCCTTCTGCCAGGTGCTTGGCACCCTCTGGACTGCTCCTCAGGGGTGTCCCCCACCTCTGCAGCCTGCAGGCATCTCTGGCTCCCGCGGGGTGCTGGGTCGCAGCCTGTGGCAGTCAGTCAGACAGGTTCTGCTTCTCTGATCCCATGGTCAGGAGCCAGATTTCTTCACTCTTCCTGAAGAAGTGCTTTATCCTAATCACCTGGAAAGTGACCCTTCCCTCTTTTCAGTGGAAGTAGGACCTTGTGTGGCCGTAGGTTTGCATCCTTCCATGGGAGTGACAGAGACTTCACTACTTCTTCTGCTGTACTGAGGCCTCTGCCTTTGCCAGCAGATACTCTGCCTTTCTTTCCATCAGCTACTAACACGATTTCCCTAAATGAACTACTGTTTACTCAAGAAATACTGGAGTTGAGTGTTATGATTACCTTTTCTATGCTTTTTTGAAGTAATTGTTGTAACCCTGAAAATACTTTTTAAAAAATAATATTATGTCTTTTAATTGCTTTTGCTATTCTTTACACTCTTATTTCTAAGACTTTTTTTTTTCCTAACGCTTCCTAGAAAACGTTTCTCCAGCCTTTTTTTTTTTTAACTGAGAGAGATTTAATTGCAGCATATGATGGTGTACTGATTGCACATCATAAGGTTTAAGGTTAGATTTAATAAAACATTGTTATTTCATTTGGGGAGGGCTTAGTATATTTTTATTGTTGAATGTATTCTAAATTACTTTGTTAAATACGTAGAGTGCTTAGAGGATGAAACACATGAGAACTTGGTAACAAACTAGTGGATAGATTCTCTACCCCTTTGAGCATTGTATAATCATTTACACTTAGGCAAAGCAAGTGTGGGCGCTATTAAAACACAGTATCTTGTGTTTAATGCAAGGTTTAAATTATACTGTGAGATTACCAGGCACTGGAGAATAGCCCCCGAATCAGCTCAGTCTCACACTGGCAAAACAAGGTCAGATCAAAGACTGTTTTTCCTGCATTGTCAAGAGCATGTAAAACCCCCTTTCCTTCATTGAACTAACCTTGCAACATGCAGCTTTACAAAAAGTTATCTAAAATACATTTGTCAGATGAAATATGACTTTGCTTATGCTTGTGTTTCAAAATTTATGCACAATTTTTACAACTTTGAAAAGTATTTTTGCTTTAATGCAAAAATTTAGATTTGCGGTAATTTTATTTGTTGTGTGATTTTATGGCTTTTTTTTCTTGTTCTTTTTTCTTTCTTTTTTTTTCAGTTTAAAAGATCTTATCCAAAGCGAAGATGTGAAACCCAAGCTGCAGTACATCATGACTAACCCTTCCTTTTCTATGGTAACAGTTCAAAGTGAAGATAGTGGGATAACCTGGGAAACCTGCTCAAGCAGATCTTCTACTCCCTGGGCCTCAGAAACTAGTACAACTTCTGATCTTTACAGTATGGAAAGTTCACCAGTAGGTTCTCCTCCAGGAAAAGTTATCTTTATTATGGATGAAGGTAAGATTGTTCGGAAAAGGAAGCGTAAGTCTTCAAATAGGGTGCTGATGGCTACAAACCTGAAGGGAGGCCAGGGCAGTAAGAAACGTGACTCTTCTGGAATGCAGAGACAAGAACCGAGAACTGTTCTAGGAGATGTGCAGGGCTCCGTGTTGAACATTGAACAGGTGGAAGCACAAGACACAGATGAGGAAATGTTGGAGGACAAAGAAGATCTAGAGAACATCACAGAAGAGCCAGTTAAGCGTGCTCCGATAAGATCAATATTTAGAGAAAGCAAACTGAGAAAAGTAGGGCCGATCCTTGGAGGACCAGTACAAGCTAGAATCCAGCTGTTCAACTCAATTTTTGGAGGGACTGAGCCAGCCCCTGAAACATTGGAGAAAGCCAGAATCCAGAGAAGTAGCTCAGTTTCAGGAGATTCTGAAGAGTTCCTTGAAACATCAGTAAAAGAAAGATCGCAGAAGTTCAGTTTACTTTCAGAAGCAACACATCCAAAACCTTTCCAGAGAGCAAGAAGTAGAAATCTTGAAACACCATCGGAGAGAAGAAGGAAGCAAAGACAGCAACCCACAGCACATGCAAATCAAAGCTATTCTTCACCAACAACACCTCTTGAAAAACAGCTTACTAATAAAGATCATGTTTCATCTGAAAATATTAAACCCATTAAAATGGAAGATAAACCAAGCAGACTTTCAAGCTTTGGTGCAGAAACCGCACTTCAACATGAAGAAAGAAAAGACAGACAGTCTCTTTTGGAGATTCCAAATCAGGTATCAGGACAGTCACTGAAGTCCTGCCCTCCTGAAGAAGCCAGGAAGCAGCAAAGTTATTCACCTGTAGCCAAAGCGTCAATAACAGAGCAATCAACCTCCATTTCATTGGAGTCTGATGCTAAATCAGAGAAACAAGTGCTGCTTCCTTCAGCTGAAACTGCAAACAAGAAACCAGACCAATCCCTGCTGATAACATCAGATCTTCTGGATGAACCAACGGAGCAGGAAATTCAGCCCACTTCTGCACCACAGTCTGTTTCAGCAGATTTTATTAATAAATTAGGTAGACAAAGCACCCAACCTATTTTGCCTACAGCATCCATGTCAGAACATCCTGAGAGGGAAGCACAGAAGTCAGCAGTTCAGTCTTACTTACCTAGTGCTCCATCAGCTAAACCCAAATATTCTACTCTAGCTGAAACAAGACAGGGGGATATTCCTCAGTCATCAGAAACTGCACAATCTGAGTCTGAATATGTGCTATTACCACACTCTGTAGATGAAACAGAGAAGCAAGAAACTGAGTGTCATTCATCAACAACTGCACTGTCAGAAACTGAGCATTCAGGTCTATTGTATTCTGCTAAAAAAAAAGAGAGTCAAAAGACCCCACCACCAGAAACCCAAAATGTTCACTTAAAGAAGAAAACAGAATCCGAGGAGCAAGGAATTAAACTAAATTTACCTATTCCTGAAAAGATAGATTCTAAATATTTTGGCATTTCATATCCTGTTCACACAGAAACACAAGAAACTCAGAAAAGTTCAGCTGTAAATAAAGGAGTAGATTTGGATCACCCTGATTTTTCCGTTGAAAAAACCAAACAAGTAGAGAGTGCACAAATGGAGGTGGAGCATCAAGGTTTCTCATATTCCAGCAAAGAAATTGGGGAATTGGAGAGAACACAGATGGAGACAGAGCATCCAGATTTCTCGTATTCCAAGGAAGAAACAGAGGGATTGGAGAGTGCACAGTTGGAGATGGAGCATCCAGACTCTTCTTTTTCCAGGGAAGAAATGGAGGAATCTGAAGGTGCACAATTGGAGACAGAACATCCAGATTTCTCATATTCCAGGGAAGAAACAGAGGAATCAGAGAGTGCAAAACTGGAGACAGAGTATCCAGAATTGCTTTTTTCCGCAAAAGAAACAGAGGGATTGGAGGGAGCACAACTGGAGACAGAGCACCCAGATTTCTCATATTCCAGGGAAGAAATAGAAGAATCGGAGAGTGCCCAACTGGAGACAGAGTATCCAGAATTGCTTTTTTCCACAAAAGAAACAGAGGAATTGGAGAGAACCCAACTGGAGACAGAGCACCTGGATTTCTCATATTCCAAGGAAGAAACAGAGGAACTGGAGAGTGCCCAACTGGAGACAGAGCACCCAGATTTCTCATACTCCAGAGAAGAAATAGTGCAGTCGGAGAGTGCACAGCTGGAGATGGATCATCCCGACTTTTCTTTTTCTCGTGAAGAAACAGAGGAATTGGAGAGTGCCCAACTGGAGACAGAGCACCCAGATTTCTCGTACTCCAGAGAAGAAATCGTGGAATCAGAGAGTGCAAAACTGGAGACGGATCATCCAGACTTTTCTTTTTCCGGGGAAGAAACAGAGGAATTGGAGAGAACCCAACTGGAGACAGAGCACCCAGATTTGTCATACTCCAGAGAAGAAATGGTGGAGTTGGAGAGTGCACAGCTGGAGATGGATCATCCCGACTTTTCTTTTTCCGGGGAAGAAACAGAGGAATTGGAGAGAACCCAACTGGAGACAGAGCACCCAGATTTGTCATACTCCAGAGAAGAAATGGTGGAGTTGGAGAGTGCACAGCTGGAGATGGATCATCCCGACTTTTCTTTTTCCGGGGAAGAAACAGAGGAATCGGAGAGTGCTCAACTGGAAATGGAACGCCAGGAGTTTTTGTTTTCCAGGGAAGAAACAGAAGAACAAAAATCTGTTCCTTTTGAACTGGAAGAGCCAGAGTCTTATTCCGCTGAAAAAGCAGAGCAAGAAGAAACAGCACAGCTTGCGCTGGTACCTTCAGATTTCTCATGTTTGATGGAAGAAGCAGAGAAAGAAAACACTACAGAACTCCAGTTGGTACATCCAGATATATCTGATTCCACCAGAAGAGCTGAGACACAGCAAACTGGGTATCTGGAAACAGCACGTTCAGATTTACCATATCCCACAAATAAAACAAAGCAGCAAGAATTGGCACAAGTAGATGTGGACAATTCTCTTATGTCATATTTTGGTGACAAAGGAGAACAGCCACAGCCAGTACAGAAGGATTCACAACCTGGAGTTAAGCTGTATTCCCGTGCCAAGGGGATGCAAGGAGAAACTACTCAACTGCGGTCAGAGCATCCAGTTCTATCATACTCGACAGGAAAAAACCAGCAACATAAAACCTCACAGCTGAGGACAGAACAGCCAGAGATGACATATTCCACTGGCAAAACAGAACAACAGGAAATATTGCAACCAAAGTTGGAGAAAGCAGATTTGCCATCTTCCCATGGAGAAACAGCACAAGCAGCTGTACAAAAAGACTTAGAAGGTCCAGAGCCATCATGTTTCATTAGTGAAGCAGAGCAACATGAAAATGTACAACTAGCTTCAGAAAATAGGGATTTCTCATTTACCACTGGAGAAGTAATGCAAGAAGGAGTGGAGTCAGGATCTTTGGGCTCCTCACATTCGACTGACAGAGAAAAGACCTGGGAAATGGCACAACTGGAGCAGGAGCAGTTGCTTCCCTCCTGTTCCACTGCTGGTAGTCAGGAACAGGAAACCACACCACTGGATGTGGCCCAGCCAGATGTATCGTATTCCTTTGGCAGAATGGAACAAAAAGAACAACAGAGAGAGCTAGAACAGCAGGAAACAGCCCAACAAAAAGCTATGCAAATGGAAATGGAGTATTCAGATTTGTCAGAAACCTGGGGGAAAGAAGAGCCACAGGTCATAGAACAAATTAATTTGGCACAGCAAGAAACAGCTCAACCAGAGTTAGCGCATCTGTCTTTGCCATATTCTCTCAGTGAACAAATGCAAGAAGAAATGCAAACAGAGCCAGCATATCCAGAACAGACATTCTATGTAAGTACAGAGATGCAGGAGGAAATGACACAACACAAATCAAAGCAACCATTTCTTTCAAGTTTTACTGGCAAAACTGAGCAACAAGAAATAGTACATCCAGAGCTGGAGCAAACATTTTTGCCATCTTCCGGTGGAAAAGAAGCTCCACTGGAAATGGAAGCGAGTTCAGAATATCCAGATTTGTCATATTCCTTTCACGAAGCTGAACAACAAAAAAAGTTGAAACATCCAACCTTACCATTTCGTTTGAAGCAACAAGAAACTGCACCACTGGTGATGGAACATCCAGATTTTTCGTGCAACAGTGGTGAAGCAAAACCAGGTGACACCATAGCGCAGGAGTCAGGACATCCAGAGCTCTCTCACTCTGTGGGAGAAACGCAGGGACAGTCAGAACATTTGGACTCACCAGGAACCCTGGGTGATGCAGCACAAGGTGAAAGTATGGAAGTGGAGTCTAAATACTCAAATTTGACATGTTCTGATGGCCAAAAAAAACAGCAAGAAACTTCACAATTGGATTCAAAATATCCAGAATATCAAGAATTGCCTAAAATGGCCAGAAAAAGAGCTTCTCCAGCAACTGCACAAATAGAGTCAAAACATCCAGATTTGACATATTCCCTTGGCAAAGCAAATGAGCCAGAAATTGCACCATGGGAAATGAAGCATCCTGATTTGTCACATTGCACTGATGAGACAAACCAACAAGAAGTAGTAGTGTTGGATCAGAAACACAGAAAAATTTCTGTTGGCAGAGAAGAGCAATGGCAAACCACAAAACAGCAGTTAGAGCAAGAAAAGTTATCACATTCTCCTGGTAAAACAGAGCAATTAAAACATGCCCAGGAGGACTTGGAACAACCAGATTTATCATTTGCCATTGACAGGCTGGATGATGAAATGGCCCCACCAGAGGCAGGACACGCTGATGTGATATATTCTCTGGACAACACAGAGGTGCGACGAAGAGTACAACGAGAATCAGAGCAAACAGGTTTAACTTACCCCTTTGGAAAAGCAGAACAGAAAATGGTTCAGCCAGAAATGGAAATTCCACATTTGGCCCATTCTGTGGGTATGGCAGAAGAAGAAGAAGTGGCAGAGCCAGGGCAGGGACATCCTGACTTGCCTTATTCCATTTTCAAAGCAGGAGGACTGCAGACTGCACAGCTGAAACCCGAACACCTTGGTCTAGCATGCTCCCTTGACAAAGTGCAAGAAACGACCCAGCTGGGGTTGGAACAGCCAGATGTGTTGTATGTTCGTGACAAAACAGAGCAACTCCCACCTGCCCAGCTGGAGCTGGGCCACACAGACTTGGCCTCCCCCACCGACAAAGTGGGGCAGCGAGGGATGGAGCACACAGCCTTGGGACGCCCTGATGAGGGACAGTCTGTCAGCAGAGCAGAGCATCCACAAGCTGCAAAAGAGAAACTAGGAGCTCCAGATGCATCATCTCATAGTGGAAAAGCAGAGCAAAGAGAAATGGCAAAACCAGAGCCAAGGCATCCTGATTTATCATATTCCATTGATAATATGCAGATGCAAGAAACTACACAACTGGGGTTAGAAAAACCAGATCTATCATCTTGGCCTGGCAAAACAGAGCGAGCACAAACTGCCCAAGAGGAGCCGCTAGGCTTCCTGTATTCCTTAAAAAAAGCTGCACAAGGAGAGAAAGCACAGCCGGAATTGGGACATTCACAGTTATCTTATTCTGTTACTGAGGCAGAACAAGAAACTGCACATGCAAAATCAAACCATTCAGATTTATCTGCTGGCAGATTAGACCACCATGAAATCATACAACCAGAGGCAGAACTAACGGATTTATCATGTTCAATTGGTGAAACACAGCAACCTCAAATGGCTGAACTGGGTTTGGAGTATCCGGATTTATTGCATTCCACTGGCACAGTACAGCGACAAGAAAAGATTCAACCAGAGCAGGAACATCCGGGTGATTTTTCATCATCTCTCAGCAAAGAAGAGCAATGGGAAGGTGCAGGAATGCAGGCAGAACACCCTGAGCGGCAGTGCTCTATGGGGAAAACAGAAGGACTGCAAAATTCCCAAGCAAGATCAGAATATGCAGATTTGTCATTCTCTGTTGGCACAGCCGAACCTCATAAAACAACACAGCCAGAGTTGAAAGAACACGATTTGTTGCATTCTTTTGTCAAAACAAAGCCATCATGGTCTGCCCCACTGGAGTCTGAACATCCAGCCGTCTCAGATGCCATGGGCAAAGTACCACACCCTGATTTATCCTCTTCTGTTAGTGAAGAAAAACAAAGTGCACAACCAGAGGTCAAACAGGAGAGGGGAAGCTGTGCATTACACCCAGAGGAAACAGTACGACTGAAATTGGAACAGCCAATGTTGTCAAGTACTTGTGACACAGCACAGCAACAAAATAGGGCCCCACTGGAAGGGGAATTCCCAGACTTCTTGTATTCCTCTGGCAAAAAAGAGCGACAAGAAATGGCAAAACAAGAGTTGGAGCATTCAGATTTATCATCTTCCACTGATAAAACACAGCAACAAGAAACCACACAACTTGGGTTAGGACAAACAGATTTATCATCTTGCCCGGGGAAGACAGAGCAGCCACAAACTGTTCAAGTGGAAGTAGAGCATCAGGACTTGCTGCTTTTCACTGGCAAAACAGAACAGCAAGGAACAGCACAACCAGAGGTTGAGCATCCAGATTTGTCGTATTCCAGTGACAAAGTAGAGGAGCCACTGGCTACACAACAGAAATCAGAGCAGCCTGTAACACCCCATCCCATTGGAAAAACTGAGCAACAAGGAATGGCACATCCAGAGCAGGAACTTCCCAATTTATCATATTCCATTTGCAAAACACTGTCACAAGAAGCAACACAAATGGACTTAGAGCAACAAGACTTAACACATGCCCTTGGTAAAACAGATGAAATGCAAACTGTGCAAGGTGAACTGGAACATACAGGTTTGTTGCATTTTTCTAGCAAAAGAGAACAAGAAATGGTATTGCCAGAGTTGCGACATCCAGAGCTATCTTACCCTGTTAGAGAAATAGAAGAGGAAGCTACACATCAGAAATCAAAATATTTGTCATATTCTATTGGTCGACAAGAGCACCATGAAACTGAACAACCAGAGGTGGAAGAAATGGATTTATCCTATCCAGTTGGCAAATCAGAGCACTCACCACCTGCCCAAAAAGTACTGCAACAGCCAGAGCTTTTGGAGTCCTTCAGCAAACTAGAGGAAAACAGAATGGCCCAGCCTGGCTTTTTGCACTCCCTTGGTGAAGAAAAGCAGAAACCAGCTTCACCGTTAGACTTAGTGCAACCAGGTTTATCACATTCGCTTGGCAAAACAGAAAAACAGGAAACTGCACAAGCAGGGTTCGTGCCTTCTGATTTTTCATATTCCACAGGAAAAGCAGAGCAGTTGCAAATGGAACGACTAAAATCAAAATGTCCAGATTTGTCATATTCTCTTGGCAAAGCAGAGACTTATGGAATGAAACCACCAGATTTATTGCACTCCTATGGCAAAGCAGAGCAACCACAGAGTGCCCAGCTGGAGCATCCAGAGACATCATATTTCACGGGTGAAATGGAGCAAAGGGATGGGGCTCAACTTGAACTGCACTGCGTTAATTTGCAGTGCTCTGTTGTTGAAACAGAGCAACCAGAAACATCTCCTGTATCATATACCTTTGGCAGGACTGAGGAGCAGGGAACTGCACAACCAGACTTTGAACAATCAGATTTATTAAGTCCTGCTGACAAAGCAGAAAAGCATGAAGCAGCCCTGCTTCGAGCAGGGCGTTCAGAAAAGCGAGACACTGTGGCTGCTTCATCTCTAACTGCTCAGTTGGAAACTAAACAACAAGATTTATCCTTTTCCACTGCGGAAGCAGAGGGCCAACCATATTCACCTCTTACTGAACAAACAGTGTCTGTACCTTTGGATGTTTCACATTCTGCCTCTGAAACAAAACCAGAAGGAAGTCCAAAGTCTTCACCTGTAACTGGAGGCCTGTCCCCCAAGCACTTAGATTTATCTTACACCCACTGTAAAACAGAGCAGACAGAAACTGCCCAGCCTGCATCAGGTTTCTTCTTTGCTAGAAAAGAAGCAGAGAATACAAAAATTCATCTACATTTGCCTGTGGCTGCACAGTCAGAGGCTGAACATGTAATTTTACCTGAAACAGAGAGACAACAGACTCCACATTACTTCCACACAGCTGCGCAATTAGAATCTGAACAATTAAATTTTTCATATTCTCCAGATAAAGCAGAAACTCTAGAAAGTCAAGATTATTTAACTGTATCTTCAAAACTGGAGTCTGAACCTTCCGTTCTGTTTTATTCAGCTGATGAAACATGTCAGCAAGAAATTCCACCTTCTTTAAAACCAGCCTCTGATTATTTGGTTCCCACATGGTCCCTTGCTGAACAAGAAAAGCAAAGCGTGCAGCCACTTATTCCCCAGTCTGCACAATCAGAGCGTAAACGTGTAATTCCAACACATGATGAAAAAGAATTGCAAAAAATTCAGCTCTATTCACCTAAATCAGCAAGCTTGAAGACAGTGCAGTTGGAGAGTATGTCTCTAACACACACACAAGAACAAGACGAGCAAGAATCTCAAGATCGTTTGCTGGACACAAAATATTTGTCATCAGAGCAGCTAAGAAGTCCCCCCAAATTCACTACTGAGCAGGATAAGCAAGAAATACAACCTGATGTGCAGACAGTGCCAAGGTCAGTGACCACAGAGTCAAAAGTGACTGCTGTAGCAGACCGGCAAGCAGTGTCATCAGATTCATTTCTACCCTTTCGTACATTACCCGAAAAGTCAGTATCAGTGGTTTTCACTGATGATGCAGAGAAACAAAATATTCCATCATCTTCATCCGATGTAGTAGGCATGCTTGGAAAGCAACCTAGCATAGTTTCAGGCATTGATACTGAAGGAGAGGATAGACATGAAATGCAACCATATTTTGCAGACCAAAAGCATACATCCTTAGAGCATCTGGGAGCTGTTTCATCAGATCTTGTTTATGAAACTGTGACACACAAAACTCAGCATTATTCTGGTGAATGGGGCAGCCTTTCTTCAGCAGAGATGAAGTCCATTAGCTCTAGTTCTGATGAAAAGCAGAATCCAGATATTCCATCTTTTGGGCTAGCTAGCTGGCTGGTGGAAGAGGCGAAAGCTCGCTCAATTAGTCCAATAAGAGCTACAGAAGTAAACAGGCAAGAAATTCAACTTTCTCCAAATGAAGCTTCTGATTTTGGATCAAAACAATTCCCAGCTGGAAGTTGCACAGAACTTACAGTTCATGATGCTACAAAGAATAAAGGAGATATGTTTAGAGTTTCTGATTCAGTGTCAAGTGAAATTTCCCACAGAGTGTCCTCAGAAACTAGTCACAGAGCACAAAGGTATGATTTATCATCTCTGGGAGGAGATAATCCAGGTCCAGACAAAGTTCCAGAGCGTGAAACTAGAATTGGAAACCCTACAAAAATGGAAGCAATGCAGCATCCAGAGGTAGACAAAGTGCCTGAAGTGCCTGAACATTACCTGAGAGGAGAAGAGGAAGAAATGGAACATGCGAGCGCTGTAGAAGACAGTCAGCATGCTCCAGAGCCTACTGAACAAAAAGATCTATTTAATATAATTTCAGAAGGTTATGAAATACTCAATATTCATGCTCCTACACATATTTCTTCTGTTGATCAAGAAGAAAGTAAACACATGCCAGATAAACTAGAATACTTGGAAACAAATCCTTCATTTAAAAGAAAATTAGCTGATGATGGCCATAGAGCCCTAGCTTCTGGAACAACCACAGAAATTTCAGAAAGCTCAGTGTTGGGAAAGCCTGCAAGCCATGAACTAAAAGAATTTGTCAAAAATTATGATGTTGAGGAAACTGGAGAAACACAAGAAAATCCCGTGTTGCCAGAAAACAATAATAATGCAGTGTTGGATCCTAATAATGGTATGGCCGATATGGATTATTTTGAAAAATATACATTGATTGATGACAAATCCCCAATTAAGCCACATTTTGAAAGACCAAGTTCATTGTTTCCTGTGACAGAAGATCCCAATGAACCTGTGGAAGAAGCCACGTCTTTTAAAGAAAGTGCTGAGGTAGATACTTTTCAAGAGGAATTTTCCTTACTTGAGGATCTGGATGAAGTCTTTTATGGTACTGTGAAAGGAGAAAGCAAAATGCAGTCCTATGCAGATGCTCCAAAACCTTTACCTCTGCAGAAATCAATTGATATTAGCAGTAAAAAGTTTACAAATGTAGAAGATGAACGGAAGTCACCAGGAACCCCACTCTTTGATTCAGAAGAAGGAGTGCTAGAACGATCTCTGTTGTTCCCTACCACTGTTGCTGCAGTTAATCCAGAGCTTCTAGAGGAGCCACCTGCTCTGTCGTTTTTATACAAGGACCTCTATGCAGAAGCAGTAGGAGAAAAGACAAAGGATGAGTCTCCTTCTGATGAGGAAAGTGGTAATTCTAATGCGTCTTTCCCTAGCAGAAATTCAGACACAGATGACGGAACAGGAATATATTTTGAAAAATACATTCTTAAAGATGAAATTCCAAGTAAGGCCATAGGGCCTCAAAAGGATCAGTTACCAGAGGATGAGTCCTTTAGTGGAGGAATTTCAGTTCCAGGTTCAGAGGACAAACACAAGCAGGGGTCTGGTGATGTTCAACGTGTCAGAACTGAGGTTCTGCCAGAAGGGGGTGTTGTGGAGAGAGAGAAAGTCCAGGTTGACAGTGATATCCAAGCAACAATTTGTAAACCAATGCATGCCATTCCTTTTGGAAACAAAGTCATTCTTTCAGGTGCAAGAAGTGATACAACTGAACAAAGAGAAGAAGAAAATGTACCTGTAGAAACAACTGAGGAGTTGCCAGAGCAATCAAGTCATCACGAGTTGTATAGTCAACTAGTGGATTATCAGGGAGCTGCATATCAAGAAGCTAGTAATAAGCAGGAAGAACAGCAAGAATTAACAGCAATTCCTGAAATGGAAAAATATGTCCCCTATGTCCGGACTCCTGTTGAAGACAGTGAAGATGATCAGTATACCCAGGAAAATCTTTCACGTGTCCCTACCATTCAGCAAACAGAGAAGCCAGACTTGCAAAGAGAAGAGCAGCACCCCGATGTTTATGAAGATCTTGCTGAGTCAATGGACTATGATGTGATTACACAAGAAGAACTTTTGCAAGATGAAATATCATCTCAATTCACACATGAGGAGCTATTATTTGAAGACAGGGACTCTTTTGAGCATGTTGGTGATAGTTATGAATTTGTTAATGCGCCAGAGCAAAGAAGACCCATTGAGCTTGAAGATTCAGGCTTTGTGGTGATGTATCCTGAAAAATCAGCAACAAACATTCCTCAAGTTGAGAGCCCACAAAGAGAACTGAAGAAAGTGCAAGCAGACACATACTGTTACCACTGCAAATGCCCAATATCTGCTATTGACAAGATTTTTGGAGAACATAAAGACCATGAAGTCACAACACTAGATGATGCTGCAACCAAGATGAAGGTAAGAATTAATTTGGGTGAGGGAAGGAGCTACTGAAGCTAATTTCTCTAGACCTCCTGTGTTGTCAGGGGAGAGGCTTCAGAGAGCAGTCCAGAGGCTAAATCACAGTATCTATAAAATAAAAACTATTCCCAAACACCTGTAAGAGATCTTGAAGGGAGACTTATTAAGGTATTCTCTAGAGTCCTAGGCTTGCTAAGCTGATATTTTTATTTGTTCATAAGTTTCAATGACCTTGTTTATATGTAGCTGTTACTAGACTTTCCATCTTTTAGCCTGCTCACCTGTTTAAGTTTGTTCTGGTTTGTATGTGTAGGGGGAAAAATGGGAAGAGTGTTGTTTCTATGAAAAGAAAATTTTAGTAACAGCAGCTCATTTCACTTGACAAGGTACAGAAACCTCCATATGTGGGGACCAGTATCATCATAAATTGTTCCCCGTCCCAGTTATGTGTGTTGGTTGCTTGGAGATGTTAGACGAGTTACACAGTTTACACTACACAGTTTTGTTGAAACTCCATCCTTATTTTCTGTTCAGTTCATGTTCATCTATGCCAATAGTGTTTTAGCTGTAGCGCGGGTAAGAGTTTAGCAAGTCCTACTTCTTCCCACTATCTCTAAGCTGTACCACTCTAAAAGATAGATAAAAATGCCCTCCATTTCAGTAGCCTAGTCCTTTGCTATCAATACTAGTGAAAATGCTTTCGTTTCTGTGGAAGCTGTTCATTAAATTGCAGTTCTGCTTGTGAAAACAGCATGCGACGTCTCACTTTTCCCATATCAGATTTGTTCATGTACAAGTATATAGATGTTCCTTTCTTGGTTACCAGCTATTTAATCTCACCACAGAATCTGAAAGGTGAGGTCTCTTTCCTGGCACATGTTTGGTTGATGGTAATACAGATCTTGTGTAATTTCATTATAATTCCAGAAGCGCTTGTATTGATGGTATTTGTCATCTTTATATTAACTCATATGCAAGAAAGAGAAATTAAAAGTAGGAGAGTCATTGTGGCAGTTTCAAATATCAGTATGTACAAACTATCTCCATGACGTGCAGATGTATGACAGCAGAGTTGCTTTTTCTATGTGGCCATACATGCATGACTTAGAAGTGATAATTAGCCACCAGTAAGCTACCAGTAAGTCAGTAATAAAGTCACAGTCCCCAGCTGTCCCTCTAATGTACCTCCATTGCAGCGAGTCAAGTTAAGCCACAAATAAACATCCCATGACACCACTCCCTGGCTGTGGAGCATGGACATGAAGCCAATATTAAATCTGGCCACAACACAGGCTTGGCTTCACATGATTTCTAGCGCTCAGGTTACTCTGAGATGGCATTTGTATGTTTCTTGTTACTTCTGTATCACTACTGACAAAACATTAAGATAGCAAAATGCTTGTCGCCTGAATTTTAACTGTAGGAACATAGCTTCACAGGAAATGAAATGAGCTATGGATGACATCTGTCAGATTTTATAGGTTATCTTGACAAACAGAAGTTTGCCTCTGAATCTTGGTGATTGGCCCTAAATATTTATAAAGTGAGCCTTCAATTGTACAGTCCAAAGTGACTTTATAATTAATGGAAAGTCGTATGCTACGACAGATAGCAGATCCAGCATCCTGATCTAGCTGTAGAAGTTTGCCATAATAGGAAGCTGTTACCAAAGGAAGTTAACCTTCCTTTTAGATTTATGCCAGCTAATTAAAACTAAGTATTTTTATAAATTATAAATTGCACCTGAGCAGATGACCAGCTTGCTTTCACGAAAGGTCAAGAAGGACTAAGAAAAAAATTAGTTGTCTGTGATGCCTGTTGTCCCTTGGACTGCTTTTGTTTCCACATCTAATTCAACCAGTGATTTTTATGAATTCTAGTTTATAGGAAATATCTTTAAAATTCTAATGAAAAAAAGCACAACACTGCATAATTTATTAGCCTCATAATTACCTGCATTATCTTCCTTTTTATGGGCTTGTTTCTGCGATCTCTCGAGGACCTTCATGAGGCTCTGAGTACCCTCAGTCTCTAGCAAAGCTGCACTGGAACTCATAGCGTTCAACAACTTGTATAGACACTCAGCACCTTGTTGAACTGACCTCACTTTTTTTGGTTTGGAAACAGTTTTGTGACTGTTCCAGTTGCTATTTCTGTGCTTGTCTTCGTAGCCAGGGAGATACTTGAACTTAATTTAGCAATTGTTCCAATGGTGGCTCATGGCAAAACAAAAATATTCACCCCAAATAAGTTGCATGTAAAAACTTTATAAAGTAATGTGCTTATGTTACTGAAACATTTTAAATTTCAGGATCACTTAGGTGAATTGCTAATAGCACTGGAAGAAAAGTCAATGAAGACTGAAGAGTTTGTGAGTGATATTGAATTGCTTTTTAACTCTGTTGAGGTAAGTCCAGAGTTTTATCGCACTAGTTTTCTTTCCATCTACAAAATTACTTCTAAGATATGCTTGCCTTGTTTTGTAGCGTTATTGCTTCCACTAAAACAGGCTGTTTCTCCAGTCCTTAAACTGACCTCTCCCACTGGAAGTTGTTAACTTTAGGGGAAGGAAAAGATTGGGTTTTTGCACATTATTGCAAAATGGATTATGTGACTGTCAAGAACTGGAGGAAAAAGTTCCCTTAATTTTGTTTATGCTTATAAATAGCTCACACTGTATGTGCCTTTATTTAGAATCCTCTGTGAAGCATCTAAATGAGTTGTGCCCAATGTCTTACCTTCTTAATGCCCTAGTTCTTAAGCCTTGAGGACTGTATTAATTTCAGTTGAAAGTATGGATTTTTGGCTATTTTGCAGTCAGACTTCCTGTCACAATGCTTAAATAGAGAAGTTTAATTTTAAACACTAATAGTAAAAGAAAAAAAATTGCCATTATTTTTAATGCATTTCTCTAGTGTTATTTCTCCCAGATGAGCTTGCTTACAGAAATAAAGTTCTCTTATTCTCAGGATGCCAGAAGGAGTCTGGTGGATGGCTTATGCATGGGTACTTGAGAGTTTCTGTGTATTCATTAAATGTTGTGATTTTATTCTGCAGATCAATTTGCATCTGTTTTTACTTTGCAGAAAAACTGTAAGAAAAATGCAGAGTTATTGGAAAACCAGAATGAAGAGATGCTTAAGAAAGTGGTAGCACAATACGATGAGAAATCTGAGAACTTCGAGGAAGTGAAGAAGATGAAAATGGAGTACCTGTATGAGCAGATGGTTAACTTCCAGCAAACTGTTGATTCAGCAAAGAAAACTTTGGAGACAACAGTAAAAGAAATGGAAGAACTTGATGGATTTGTTTTCCTAAATGTAAGTAAAAATGGCTTTCATACTGTAGCTTTTATGACACTAGTTAGGAAAGTACTTATACAGTACCTAGGCTGAGAATGAGTAATTTACGTTCCTTTTTTTTTTTTTTAAGATAGCTAAATCCTGCAAGTTCAGCTATTCCACTCTGAAACTGCTAGATCATTTGCTTTTGTCATGTGAATGCTCAGAGAGAATTGCAAAGATGATGCATAGGATGAAAACGTGCCTTGTGCCATTAAAATGGTTCTAGTTTGTTTTGTGAAGAGAAGTCTAAGAGACACTATGATAATTTATCTAGAATTAATTATCCACTGAGGATTAATAAATGTTATGTAAAAGGTACTTTACTGTATGAAAAATAAAGGTGAAACAAGAAAGTGTAATTGAAAATTATCTAAACTGGAAACAGAGTTGTTGAGTTGTGGGGTTTTTTTGGTTTTTTTGGGTTTTTTTTTAATGAGCAGACACAGACAGTAGTTATGCACTCAAATTACTGAGGCTGTGATAAATGCTTACTGCTGAAGAACAGTGAGCGGTTGTGTGGTGCTTAGTTGCCAGCCGGGGTTAAACCACGGCAATGGGCTAGGTTTAGGAATGTGCATGTGAAGTGCATGTCTGTAATGGTCCATTCTGGATGTGAAAAACATCCAGAGTGAATCTGCATGACTTGAGGTACCTAGCTCATACAGTCGTCAGTCATAAGCTGGTGTCAGAGGGTCTTGCAGGTTAATCATTAACGGCCTGGGTCCTCCAAGATTGTTCTTGTGCTGCAAGACTTGTCCATAAGTGAGGTGTGACACTTTCTCCTTTATAGAAGTTTATCAGCTGTCTTGAAGGGGATGGGATTTCTGAGACAATAATCTTGTACCGTTATGGAATTAGCATGTAGCCTGGAAGTTGCAGAGAAACTATCCTGGGGTGCAAGAAATGGAAAGTTCAAATTACTGTCTAAAGACTGATCATTCATGCAAAATAAAACAGCTTTCTAAGTATAAGCCCCCAGCCCGTATACCAGCAGTTATGGAAATGATGGAGCAATATTTGGCTTTCTCCCCTGCTCCAAGCTACGCAGTGTCTTAGTATCCTGTAACCAAGTGAATGCCATGGGAGACTGCCTACTTCGGGGTGGATGAGAAATATATCTTATTTTCCTGAACTTTGTGAGGTGCTGGATCAGTGCTTTGGCAAAATCTGAAATTCTTTTGTGGGGTGGGAAAATTACTAGATTCCCTGCCCCTTTCTGTTAGTGATAGAGGACAGGAACTTCTCTGTCAATGAGTCAGGAAATGTTAGCTGAAGATTCATGGAGCATGGAAGAAATTCTCACTCCATGAGTACAAATCTCATACAGGTTCTACGAACCAGAAGTTGTGAAGGAGATTTTAGCCAGAATTTGGATCTAAGTGTTCTTAATGTACAAGTGATTTCTTTCTGTAAAAGCCTTGGTTTAAGAAAGTATTTGATTGTGCTCTGGTCTTTAAACCTGGATATTGAATACTGACCCCTCAGGAGTTTAAAACCAGGTTTAGACTCTAATAGCCTGCTGAGCCAGAGCTTTGAAGTGGAATATTCTTAAAGAACCAAATTCTCTGCTGGTGTGAATGAGCAGCATCCCAGACAACATCAAGTCAATAAAGCCATGTGTATTTTATGTCTGTGGAGAGTAGCAAGGCTGTTAGATCATAGAATCATAGAATCACAGAATCATTAAGATTGGAGAAGACCTCTAAGATCATCGTCAACCCAACGCCACCATGCCCACTAAACCATGTCCCTAAGCGCCTCATCTACACATCTTTTAAATGCTTCCAGGGATGGTGACTCAACCACTTCCCTGGGCAGCCTGTTCCAATGTTTCACCACTCTTTCAGTAAAGAAATTTTGTGAGTGGCTCTTCAACATTTTCAGGGTTTTGAAAACTGCTAATGCATTTCTTTTTTTCCTCCTTTAGTCATCTAAAGAATTGAATAAAAGGTATATGAAGTATGGGTTAAGTGCACCGTAGTGAGTACTAGGCCTAGCATGCTGGATGCTTCATTTAGTATTTACAAGCTTTGAAAACACACTGCTAATATTCATAGCTACTTTTATAAACCTTACAAATAATGAAATTAAGAGAAGAGGTTTTATACTTGTTGCTGTAACTGACTGGTTTTGAAGTGTTTTGCACGTGTTCTGTAGTACATCAATTAAGCAAGTAGCATTTTGAAATGTCAGCTCAATTTTAAATCTCTACACAGACATTTTTAAACAGATGTGTCTTGTTGTTATTATTATACACACATATACTAAAAAAACTTTTTGATCATGCTTCCATCTCTTAGACATCACTGGTGTGTTCTTTTTTCACTAGTCTGGTTCTGTATTACCTGCTCTCGGAAAGGTTATAATGCAAAGTGTCACTCACATGGCTGAGTTGTTGGGCTGTATTTATGAACACAATTCCAGAAGAAAATGAGATTAAGTAGCTTTTAAAAGCTTACCCGGAGACTGTGGGCTGATGTTTTCCCATACCTCTTCACCGGCACTGCCTGATTCAGGATGTGTCAGAGGGCTATTGCCTCATCACAGCTGCATCCTGGCGCACCTGCACATACCAGTAAATACATGCAATCACAAACAGTTCTCTGCCATGTGTGATTTCCTCAAGGGAGTCATTTTGGTGAGACCCATCCTTTATGAGAGAAGTGTTCAATTATAAGCCCATATTCCTCCAATAAATTTTCCAAGGTGAACTACAAATATTCAGGCAGGCTGGCTGCAGGCTTCTCCTATGCAAGCCCCCAAACCTGCTTTGCCCACACCACCACCACTGACTTTGCCCAAAGGGCCCGAATATTGAGTGGTGTACATCAAACATACCCTTGTCAGTGCTGCCTCAGCCATCACAGCGACACGTGTGTGAAGTTGATGGACTGGGGTATAAGAATGACGTGAGGGTTCCAGTTCTCAGTCAAATTACAACCCCAGGAGAGTGGTCTGAAGAGAATGTGCCAAACACCCTTTCATGGTTCCCATTAGTCTGCAGAATTATGACTATACATTTGGACTCCCCTGTTCTAAGTCAAAATGTGACCGTCTGGCCACATATCTGCATGTAGTTTATTGCATAAGAATAGAGCAGGTATAATGTGACGAAACGATTTTCCAAGGCTTTCTGTATACTTGGTCTTTATTTGTTAACTTACACACTAAACTTAAAGTTTATTCTGTTTTGTGCATGAGTTTGGTTATTACTTTGATAATACCTGACTTGCTAAAAAAGGTTAAGAAAAAGTCTACGTAACAATGCATGTTTTTCTAAAGAAAGTATATTTTATATTTGTTGTGCTTTGTTAAAATTAGGCATAATTAACTACTTTAGTGACTGAAAAAAAGAAGGGGAGAAAGGTAAAATTCAGTTGCCATGAAAAAAGAAAAAAATCTTTCATTTCCTTGAAGCTGCTTCTGCCTCAGAGTTAAAAATATGTTGGGTTTTTTCCTATAATTAACTCAGCAAATATGGGCTAATTAAGTGGAATCCATCTTTCTTCTCATGTGTTTTTTTGCTTGCCACAAGCAGCTGCTTTACATTACATCTCTGGAGTCAGCTGCAGTAGTTTAGCTCTAAGGTTTGTAACCTTTAAAGGCACTGAGTTGGTAAGTCCAAACCCCTGTGCTCTTGGGAGTCTTGCTGTGAACTTCAAATCCTCATGTTCTCAGGGGTCAAGTGTGTGCAGACCGTGTGCACTCTCCCTGCACTCCTGATCTGAAATCACAGTATGCTCTAAATGTTCAAAATCAGGGAAACAGCTTCTCCTTGCACGTTGTCCTCAAGTTCATGGCAAATATTTAGAGAAGCGTGCATTGCATGGTCTTCTGGTCTTTGGAAACTATGTGACACCACAAGGGATTTTTACAGCTATGTGTTTTCTTCCAAATAGGTTACTTTCTGCAATGGATACTAATCTCTCTTTAGAAAAGGTCCCCAGTGCTTTTTCACTGTTTGAGCACTATGCGGACAGTCCAGGACAGAGCAACCAGCACTCCTTAAAACATGTGGCTGGTAAGCATCTCTGAATATTGTCTTTACAAAAGCTAACATTTTGGCAACGCTTTGGAAATTTTATGAAGTTAAAAACAGAATCTATTTGAGAAGTATAAATTTGCAAACCATGTAATTAGCAATCAGCGTTGAATGTAAAATGAAGTCTAATTGTGCACAAGTGTTTGGCTTATAGTAGGACACTAAGATGAGCAACAGAGGGAGAAGTGCTAAAGCGGGGGATTCTTGCATCATTTAAGATATCTGTACCTCAGCCTAGCAGAAGGTCTCTGTCTGTAAATCTCCCAGGGCTAAAGAAGTTGCTGTTCCCTTGCAGGCAGAGACAGAAGAGGCAATCAAAAGGACTCCTGAGCTCTCTTCCTCCAAGGGGGGCAGCCCCAGCATTGCTGGCATGGGGAGGAGTGCAGGGGGTCTGGCTGACGGCAGAGATCCCTGGGCTTGTGCCAGGTGAACGGAGGCGCCTGAAACCCCCATGGGACGTGAAGGGAAAGTAGTTAACTGTAGCTGGAAACAGGCTCTGCTTCAGAGGGCAGCAGTGAAAATTGCACATGATAAAGGGGTTTATTCATCTCTATCTGATATTTCATATGCTGTAAATAGCCTGCCTGTGTGGGCTTTCTGCTCTGCCTGTACATATACCTTTAGAAATTATCTGGATCTGGACAGCTGTCAGTGAAGATTTTGTCAGCACCAATTTGTGGATTCATTTTCCTCATAATTGGGTCTCACTCCAGTGCTTCTTTCTGAAGAGAAGGTTTGTTTTGGGAGCTTGCATCTCACTGTCATGCTTTGTGACCTCCCATTCACCATCACATGCACCACCGCCGCCATAATCACTCTCTGGCTTTTCAAGCGATGTCTCTTTCTCATGTGTTTGGTCCCTGAGCACTGGAACTAAAGCATCGATTTTCCCAAGGTGCTTTGTTTGCTGGCTGGATTTTCAGGTGCCTAATGGGACATTGGAGAAGTGCCATCCTGTGCAGACTCTCCGGTGTCTAATAAGAGCTGAGTGCACTCAGCAGTGTCACTGTGGGGAGATCGTCTCTCTCCTCCGCACCGCTACTTTTATTAGACCTAGAGGAACTGAATATCTCTGAGACCTTAACTTCCTTGTCAGATTTGTATGAATTTGCCTGCAGCATTCAAAGCTTCTCAGGTGAGGTTGGACAGGCACTTGTGCATGCAGCGTTATCTCAGCCTCATTTCTTTAGGAAGTCAGATAAAAAGATCTTTTTTGTAATCCACTCTCAGCCAGAGTTAACTTAGTGGTGCAAATGTGCTATGTGTCTTGGTTTTGTTCCTAAACTGCCTCTTGCAGTCCCATGGGTGCAACCATTCTTTCTTCCTGGGCTGCTACCTACCTGCAAGGTCATCCAGGAGGACAGACCCATTTTGTCATGCTGTATTTCCTTTTCCCACTAGTCGTTCCAACATGTTTTTCCCCAAACTGCAGAGATCTGCTTTTCAGTTTGATTTGCATTAGCTACTGTGTTTGCTTAACACCAAATGGCTCCAGACCAGTTTGCTTTCACAAATTGGAAATGAATGGCTGTCCATTAGCAAGCAACCTTCAAAGCTCCTCATCCTTTATACTTTCTTCTCTTTCTTTTTCTAAAATACCTGGTTTTCATTCTTCATTTCCACTGCCAAGTATTTCAATTCCTATTGTGATTTTTACTTTGGTGAGCAGTAGAAAAAATATATGTATATTTTTTTTTTCAAGATTACACTCTTCCTGAAGGAAAATAGGTAAATGCCTACACGAAACTTCATTTGGAATTGAACACCTTGAGTACATCATTTATCACATACTGGAGGAAAATGATAGACACTCTCAGAATTTATTTTGACTGAAGCCATTTGATGAAATACTCCAATCCACATATTTTTCCTTCAGAAAGTATAGTCTTTTACTGAACAATTTCATAGAACTTTTATTTCACCACTTCAGAAACATCTTTCCTTCAAAACACTCTCCATTTCCAAATTTTCCATATCCACTAATGAAAAGCCCTTTTCCATCAAATTCTTCCTCCTTTCACATAAGCCACCCCATTAACAAATGTGTAAGCATAAAAAACCCCTGCAGCATGCCATTGAGCATGCTGGAATGCAGGCTGTGCCACAAGTAAAATGGGTAAAACTTAAAAATTGAAAAATGATTATTTCCAAAGCCTGCCATGAGCCCTGCCCTTTTATACCAGAAGGCGAGGACCTTTGCTGATTGTAACAGTCTTCCATTAAAGTCACAGAGGAATGTAACTGCTGTCCTTCTTCAAGTCCACAAAGCCAAGGAAATATTATTTCTTATTACACTGGAAAGGGGTAAGTATCCATAAAATATTTAGGATTATTATTTTTTCTCCTGGGAGATGTGGAGATTAGGTAGCATGAAGGAAAAGCTTGCTTACACCACAGCACTTCAATGAAAACTGAACAGAACAGAAAATGTCACACTTTTCTGTTGAAAAATATGATTTAGTCAAACGTGTGGTACAAATACCTCATTTCTTTGACTAGAATTCATTTAAAAAGGGGCCAGCACTTTGATAACAGATAATTGTTCTGTTTCTGAAGAGAATATTTCAACTTCTTGCTTTGAAATGACTTCCTTTCAAAAGTTTCTTTCATATTATGCAACAGGAAATTTGAAATCAAATGTTTCTCAATGTTAACAAATTGAATTTTGATTTATAACTTTTTTTTCAGAAGTTTCATTCATTAAGCTTCCGTTCAGATTTGGCATAATAATAAATCTCGCAGTTGTGGGGTTTCTATGATGATAAATAGTGGTTTCTAGGCAACTTCATAGGAAAAAAAAAAGCTGGTTTCCCCACTGGGTCCACTGAAAGGAAGTCTTTCCCTAAAGATGATCATTTTTTAAATTGACCGCCTTGTTCACCACAGGGGATCATCATCATTACTGTGAAGACAACTGAAAAAAAAAGCTTTCTGCTGAGATTCTAAGATATTTCATGCAATATGGAAATTTGCTTGCTGAAGAAATAGAACCATGTATTTTCGCTCCCTGCAATCACTTTAACAATGAACATCTTTTGGGGCTTTTTGCTTCTTTCTTTCCCCTCCTTCTCTTTTAAGCCATAATCATAGAGGGGAACAATATCTCATCAGGGATGGATCTGTGCCGATCAGGAGACAAAGTTTATATGAAATCTGAGGCACCTTGGAGGTCTTTGAAGCACTCTTTGTGAAGGATGCTCCTGGTTGTCCCATGAGGTTCAGGTGCTTTGGCAGAGCTTGGGTTCACCTGCGCACCAACGATCCTCTGTCCACTGGGCCTGTGGGGAAAATGACCATGCCAAACGGGAGCACCTGGTAGTGCACCTGCAGTAGGAGTCCACCTCTGGGCAGGGGTGGACCCAAGGCTGCAGGGAACTTCCTGCTCCCCAGGCTGTTAGTGCAGGAGCTCTGAGCCTTCCTTTACCTAAAGCACATCCCTGCTCCTGTAAATGTCAGTGGATTTGACACTCTGCATGAATCCCTTCCTGGCGTGGCAGGTCCTTTCCCTTGCCTACCTTTCTGGGATCAGCTACATACGTCTGCCTCTGGAGGAAACTTTCTTCTTCTGCAAGCTCCCTCTCCCCATCAGTGAGCTATCTCGTGCTGTTTGCTACCAACAAGTGCTTTCAGTTTCCGCTTTCATGACCATCCTCTTCATAGGGTGTCCTCTCCTCTGGTGCCTGTGCTGCAAGGCAAGGTCAGGTAATGGAGAAGGTGGTCACTCAAAGGAGCCTGTGTTAAGCTCCAGGGTCTTCAGGCCTTTCTGAGGAGGTGGCCTGAAGTTATCAGGATTCTCTTGGGGTTTCATCAGCACGTGTGCCTCGAAGTGGAGCGCAGGGCTGGAGAGCTCTCCCTGTGACTGAAGAGAGTAGGTCTCCTGGGGAAAGGAGAGGGGTCACTGGAGCTGTATGACAGCTTTGGATGTCCAGGATTACCACAGCCCTGGGAGCCTCCCTGCCGGAGGTTGGAAATGAGCAGCCGTGTCATGACTCATCTTGCGTGATGGTCCTGCCCCATAGGCAGGGACCCCAAGAGCTGCGCCGGTGGTGGGCACATGCTTTGCGCAGGGTTGAGGTGGTCCCAGTACTGGGACTGGATCTTATTTTGTCCAGACTGTGAGGGAAATGGACAGATTCCAATGCTGAGCAATTAACTTTTCTGTTCCTAGTTTAGGAGGACCCATTGCTCTAAAACTGCACCAGTATTATCTATATTTCATGTACTTGCTGTACTTGTTCTGTGGAAATAAGCAACCTGAGTGAAAATAAGCAACCAGCTTGCCTCACGAACCTGTAGGTAATTTGGCTGAAGATACAGGAGTGTGAATAACAACGGGAGACTTTCCTCTCAGTCCCACAGACACCGACTGTCGTACCTCAGGAACCAAATTCAGCCACCAGCACCTCCATTGCCATTTACTGGGCTGTGAACAACGGGGATGCCATCGACTGCTTCCAGGTCTACTGTATGGAGGAGCCGCAAGCCAGCAAAGATGCGGGGGGTGCGTAAGGTCTTGCCTTCACAGCCGCCG